GTGTCCTATATTCGCAGCGTCTTATATTCACGAAGGTCTCAATTTCCACTTTCTTCAGCCGAGTGATGGTTACTAATAGCAAGGCTCTCTAAATGCAAGCCGTAATCGCCACGCAATATGTGGAAGGCTTTTGATGTCAATACATACATAAATGCAATAATAAAACCATATTGTATGCGCTTTCCACAAAATTCATAAACTCAAGCGCGTCTGTTTTTAATGACCAGTCAACTACGCATGGATGCGTGCAGGCCACACAGGTCAGCGTAAGCCGGGCGCGGCGGCCGAGCCGAAACTGGGGCGGGGCGGGCGGTAGTTGGTTAGGGGCTCCTGCAAATTTTGCGCAAATATGCGCAGTTAGCTTTTATGTTGCCCTGGTGTAAATTTAAATCCTGCTTCATCTCACAAAAAATCAGAGTGGGACTAGATGGGACTACCTGTTGTTTCCTTACCTAAACTTTGCAGTTATATTCCAGAATCACTCTAGGAGAGCCCTCATAAAAAAGCTACAGTAGATCCTAGTTGGGGAAAAAGTATACCAAAAAATTCGCACTGACCAGTCGGCAACCTCATAACAAACATTTTGATGCATAATATGTGGGAGTTCAGTTTGGTGTCTATCAGCAATAAGACTCTGAATATCCGGCTCAAGAAACCTCTTGCTCCGCGTCAGTTTCCGAGTTCTGGGATACCCCATCTTCGGGGGCTGATTACAGTTATTTTTGGTCACCCGGATTAGTTTTTTTGGCCTAATTATAATAATTTGATCAATTTCAAATCGATCTATATAAACAATAATCCGAAACTCCGGAATCGCCCGTGGCCTCTCGTGAGGGCGTTTCCGACCAGTGTGCGGCGGCGCCCGGATTCCGTTCTAATCACGGGTAAATCGAGCAGGTCGGCCTGACGCGTATCACGCCCATGCACGCTACCTCGCGACACAATCGCGTTGGATAGGGCTTCGGGCTCTCCTGTCTCGAGCCTCGAGGATTTTCTTTAATAGCGTGACAGACTGTAGACGCCACATATTCTCGGCCGAGAGCCACCGCAACTCTTTCAGCACTTCGCTTACATGGTCATACTTCCGCTTGCCCGACACAACACGAGCACCGAAATTGATAAGCCGCTGGAGCCGAGACATCTGGGTGACATCACATCCACCATAGACAACAATGGCGTACCGGATCGATGAGACTACTAGAGCCTGAACCAGAGTGGCCAGCGTACTTTTCGGTAGGTAGTGCCTAGGCCTACTGTGACTCAGGCCGCTCAGAATACCGGTGCATCGGCGGGCTACATCAGTCACATGATTTGAGAAGGTCATGCTCTCGTCAAAAGTGACCACAGGCCTGCCAGGGGCACCACCGGTCTAGCAGGGGCACCATGGGCCTGTCAGGGGCCCCACCGGCCTCGCAGGGGGCACCACCGGCCTCGCAGGCATCACGGCATCACGCAGGGGCACCTTGGGCCTGTCGGGGCATCACGGGCCTGTTGGGGGCACTTTAGGCTTGTCAGGGGCACCACAGTCCTGTCAGGTCCCAGGGGCATCAGCAGCCTAGCAGGGGCACCCTAGGCCCGCCAGAGGTACAGCCCACCGCTAAAGTAATGTAGGGTTTTACCAAACTCAACGGTTGGCTTTGACTGGTGATTGTTTAATGCGAAGTGATTGAAAAGAAGATGTCAATAGCTAAAGTTGCAGCTGCAAGGGTGACGATACATATAAGCTACATTCAAAGTTTCATTGTAGTCTGGCTAATCGTTCCTAAGCTTCAGAAGCAGAACATACCCATGACTGAAACCCCACATTACTTCTGCTGTGGACTGTACCACAGGCCTGCCAGGGTCCAGGGGCACCACAGGCCTAGCAAGGGCACCACGGGCCTGTCAGGGGCACCTCAGGCTCCCGTGCCCCCCCCCCCTCCCCCCAGATCCGCCAGTGATGCCACACCACGCGAAACACCGCCAACTACCAGCTGCCGCGCCATAAACACGTGCCAACAACAGTCTTTTTTTTAAGGTCGACTCCGCTCGCGCAACTTTTGACTGACCCTCACTGCCAGGGGCGTCGTTTTGTATAGGCCTGGTAGGGCCCGAGCCTTACCAATGTTTATTTGGGCCCTACCAATGTTCGCTGAGCCCTACCAATCTTTTGTCACTTATCAGTTGATAAAAAATCAAAATAAACAGATAAGCAAATATTAAATAAGCACATATGCAAGTACATAAATAAGGTTCTAGCCACAGTAGGTGCATGTAGCTGACAATGAGGTTTCACGTGTCTAGGACTCCGGTCCTTAATGGATTTTAAGAGGCTCGAAAACGCAATTGGTTATAGAGGTCCATAACTGCCTCTGAGTCCCGCATACCACGCGACCGCCCCTAATAGACCCCGATCCGTCTCCACACCAGCCGCTGGAGGCCCTACACCGACTTCGGAAGGTGCCGCGGTGCTCCAGATTAGGCCATAGGTATACTCGTATTGATTTGAGTGGGTGATGCAGCCTGATTCCCCAGGGTTCAACGCCAGGTCATTACCGCATCAGACCCCGAAAACTGAAGCTCGTGACTACGAGGGGCGTTCAAAAAGTTTCGGGCCGAACAATGAAGGAGTTGGCCAATTTTGGCCTGCAAGGCGGTGTGTTAAATGATGTGTTATTGGGATGTCCACTTACGCAAATTAAGTAAGTGGCCATTAATTAAGTCTCTTCTGTGATTGATTCGGGCTTCTATTCGTAGCATAGTTCGCCATTTCGGATAGGATGGGCGACGCCCAGAAGAGAGCAGTTATTCGTTTCATAGTAGTTAGTGCAGAAAAGGCACCAAGCGTTAACCCTCGCCCTGGGCATTTTTCATAACACGGCCTGGCAGGGGGGAGGGGTCGATGCGACCCCCCTCCGCTCGTCAACTTTCCAAAACAGGAGCACACAATTGATGATGTGTGTCCGTTCGATAAACATCGAGGAGAGGCTATATAGGGAAGCTGACGTAAAGTGTGCACCTGATCCGCGACCACGCACCTGCGTACAAGGGCGGGATGACGAACAGTGAAGCGATGAGCTTCGAGTTGTTGTCGCATCCACTTTTTTTCTCTCCGAACCTTGCACACTCTGGTTAGTGGTTGCCACCTCTTCCCCAACATAAGAAAATTAGCAGCGGCAACCTCGCTAACAGCAGGGAGACGAAATCAGCCGTCTTGGACGTGCAGGATGGGTCCAAAACCCACTTGGTTATGGAGGCCTTGAGAGCTCTCGCGAAGCGCTGCGCGAAATGTGTTTGTCTTAACGGTGTTTATTTGAATAAATGAACTTTTTGGTCTAATGAGTCGATGCTGTATCTCTCTGCTCCTTCATGGTCGGGCCCGTAGCTTTCTGAACGCCCCTCGTACTGTCATCCTTTTATTTTGGCAAGCAGGTCTTTCTAACTATCGTTGTGTTTCCAGTCCTCGTTAGTTGTCGAACCCTTCAATTGGCGTGGGTCTTCAAAACCGTTCCTGGCCCCGCAGCCGTCTTTTTTAGTCGGCTTGGGCCCTCAAAGCTGTTCCTGTCCCCTTTCAGCACAGCCGTCCTTTTAAGTCGATGTGGGCCTCTTTCAGAATGGCGTGCATTCCTCCGACACTATTGCCTATACCAGTATAACGCCTTTTGAGGCGAGTAACGGAGCGAGCGAGAGGGTGAGCCTTGCACGTGCGAAATTTCGAGGGGATACCTCCAACTGACTTGTGCACGGCACCCTACTAACCGGCCTCTAGCGATGTGCCAAATTTGAGCACAATCGGCCCAGCCGTTCTCGAGATCTGGAAGCGGCAACCCGCACGTGCGCACGTGCAAAATGAGTCCCAACTGACTTGCGCACGGCACCCTACTAACTGGTCCCTAACCGTGTACCAAGTTTGAGCGCCATCGGTCCAGCCGTTCTCGAGATCTGGAAACGACCCCTGCACGTGCGCACGTGCAGCAGCACCCCAACTCTGGCACATGAATATGCAGTGCCTAGTGGGTGCCTACCTACATGCCAACTTTCAGCGCAATCGGCCAAGTAGTTACCGAGATATTGCAACAATTACAAAACTGACACCTCTTCGTTTGGCACGTGGCACGTGCATAAGGGGTCACCCACATGCATCGGGAATAGTCCAATACTTGGTAGAAGGAATGAAGCTACCCTACAAAAATTATCGCATGTAAATCGGTCAAGTGGTTGCTGAGATATAAGCCTCGCAAAAGCGTCCGCACGGCCGGCCGGCCGCTCATACTCAGAAATTTCCGTTAATCTAAGGAAAGACTCCGCTCGCTTCGCTCGCTCCGTAATAACTGCACGTTTTGTGCATGGCGTCCGGTGTGGACCCAGATTTCCAAAGTTTTTTGTGTTTTTTTTTTTAGATTTCGGTTAGTCTTGTCAATGACCAGGGCGAAAAATAAGTGGCCGAAATCCGATGAGAAAGGCAGATTTGGGGGTACCCTACCTTGTAAGCCCCGTCATATATGGCCAGCCGCCGCCTTTGGGCACTACCAATCATTTTCGGAAAACGACACCCCTGCTCACTGCTACTATATTGCTTCCATATTATGCTGTGGAAAGCTTTACTTCACCAAGTGGCTAAAAACCTCCATCAAGGTATATTTTCTTAGCAATTTTTCTGGCGTTTTGGGGGGGCCAAACAGGCCACTTTAGGCCTTTGGGGGGGGCATGGCCCCCGTGGCCCCCCCTGGATCCGCCAGTGCATGTTTATGCAGCCAGAAGGTATGATGAAGGTATGTAGTATGATGTTGATAGGCTTAGACTTAGCAGATGTTGCGAAACAAGAAAGCGCCCTGGAGAGCCCCCTCCCTCCCAGTTAAGTACAGTCGAAGGACTCGCTTGTAAAAATCGTACGGTTGCGGAGCTGTTCTGATTCACCCCTGAAGCGTCCGGAACACCCCGGATCTCGGTCTTGCTGCAATAGTTTGACCCTATTCCGGCACTAGCCGACCCGACAGACGGGTGTCAGTGTCACAGGCACATCTATTGCGCCTTGCGGTGCTCCGAGGTCACGTGTCCTTTCCTGGGGGCGAATGACGCACCGCGCGGCGGCCAGGTATATATCGGAAGGTCACCGGCGGCGTCTTCAGTCGATAATCTAGTCGGTGGTCAGCAACATGAAGCCGGTGAGAGAATGCACGTCCGATCATATACCACAGTGCTGTGCAACAAGACTGTGCTCAGTGTTCAGCCGTTTGGTCCAATTAGCTTGTATTACCTGGTGTTTGACTTTATTGCTTTTTTGTTGATTGATACATTATTTGAGTTGTATAATTTCTGTGTTTATTCGGTCCTTATAGTTTACTGTGTTTTGTGTGCGTGTGTGGGTGTTGAAATGGGGAGGGGACTTCCGCAGTTACTGTTAAATGGCTGAGGAGTATTTACTGGGAATGATGTGGCGTGCTTTAAGCATATTATATTTATTCTTATAAAAGTCAGAGCTATTAAAAAAGCTTGCACAACTTTGATAAGCTACGCCAGCTTTCTTCCGAATTATAAATTCTATCGTGTGTTTTTTTGTGTTTTTTTTCTGCTGCTGAGCTGGTTATGAAGCATTTGGGCCAGCCTATTGGATTGTCTCTATAACTACATATGTACATTGCCAAGAAATGCGATTCACGGGTGTCACTTCTATGGAAAATCACTGTCATCAGTGACCGCGGCTACTTTTGGTTTCAGTTTGTGACGCTGTGCCTTCTGGCGGCGCTAGTGGCGGTGGTGACCTGCCGACCTGAACAGCAGGCAGCCGCCGAGTTTACACCGGATGCCGACCAGCCGGTGGCCTCTGAAGCCGGAGATTTGAAGGGTTCTGAAACTGGGTAGGTCACAAACATAGGCTAAAAGAGCTTGATTTACTGGTTGATCAGTATATTAGAAACTTGTTTATCAAAAGTAGACACTCGCGATTAAGAGTTTAAGACATGCACTATGGCAAAAATAATCAACTTTAATGCAATTTCCTAGATAGGAACCAAAACTTAGTGGCGGTAACCTTTTAGTTCTCACTTTATATTCCCGCAATTTAATATTTTTTTTTCACATATGAAAATGCGAGTCCGGCAGATTTTACGGCGAGCCCTGACGACATCCCAACTTTTTCAGCATCTTCGGTCGCCTGCTCGGGGGCCTCCTGGGTCGCGGCCGTTACGGTCGAAGACACGGATACGGCGGTTACTTCGGGGGATACCCGTACGGCTCGGGATATGGATACGGACACCGCGGATACGGATACGGATACCCTGGATATGGACATGGGCTTGGATACGGTCTTGGCAATGGATATGGATACGGATACCCGTATTACGGATAATATTTGACAATCTGTGTACACTGTTCAACCTCGCACTGGGAACGTGCTGCGCTGCTGTTCTGGCGTCACGTGGCGAAACCGAATGAATGCCTTGCGATGGATTTTTGCTCAAATGTGCACGGTTCGGATCGACTCATTTTGATGTGTAGACTTAGTTTTGTTCTAGTCGGGTGCTTGAAATACATTCATTTTCACAAATGTGAGCATTGTCTTTAGCAGGATAGGATCCAAAATACTTTGGATGTAAATGTGTACTTGGCACTTTAAAGTTGAAACGCGATTTTCTCTTTCATTCTTATTTCTTGGATCCACAGGTAATGTTGATAAAGGCTAATCGGATCAAGCGCTACTGTGTATAGCAACGAGCAATCAATGAACAGGCATACAGTTTGCTACATTAATGCCTACATACGGAGGTGCGGTCGCTGCGCTAAAAAAAGCGCTTGTAATACGCATTTAGTTCCTAAGGAAGGTGCTCTACCTTTAGGAGCATTTTAGTCATAAACCACGACTTGAAAGTGTTGCGTGAACATGCAACAATTGCGAATCCATCGAAAATTCGCTTTAAAGGCTGATCTCACATATGTACTTCGATAATAATAACGATGGCCCAAATTCTTTTTTAATTTCTTATCTTCTACATTTCGAACACAAAATCAATTCCGGCAAGTTTATTTGCACAAGTCATGAATCACTGACTAGTAGTTGAGAAGAGAAAGATGTAGGCGTACCTGAGTTAACCCGCGCCCCGTTGGGCTCTGCCGAGCAACGCGCCCCGTTGGGGGGGGGGGGGCATTTTGGCCCCCCCTAAGATCTCGAGAACCACGCAACCTAGCGACAAGCGGCAAACGGTGTTGGATAGCCCTATCAGGGAACTACCTTGTGACCCAATTTTATTGACCTAGGTCAAACCGATGACGTCACAGGTCAGGCCAAAGGTCCAATTTTCACCGTTTATAGGCATTTCAAGAAATGCGTTGTAAAATCGAGTAAAATGCATTTCATTGAAAATCATCGATGGGGAAATGTTCTTCAAACACATGTTTTGCTATTTGAGGTCACTGATACCAGGTCAGGTCACAGAGGTCAGGTCACTGGGGGGTCACAATATGAAAGTGTCGTGTGCGGTGTGATACATGTTTTATGGTCCATTTTATATGACAAATGCGATTATGTGGATCAGACAGACTTTAGGGCCAGCTTAGGTCACGTTTTGGTCAAGGTCAGGTCAAGGTCAGGTCAAAGTCAGGTCAAATTAGGTCAAATTTTAAAGTTGATATTTTTGCATAAAATGGGTATCGAATCGATGCAACTCGTCACGGTGAGTTCAATGGTGGTCTTTGTTTTGCCGTACGTGGTCTAGAATCGCTAAAAATTGAGTTAAAAAATTTAACGTCATCATTTTTGAACAGTTTTTTCACTATAACTTGGCCAAAAAACGAAATATCGATCTGAAATTTGGTATGTATATAAAAGAGCGCAGGGACTATCACATATATTCCGGTTGTTTCGAAATTCGGAAATGTTTTGGATTTTTTATAGTTTTTCTAAAAAAATCAATTTGTGAATTTTGTAGGGTCAAAAACCCAAAATTTTGAAAATCCGAGATTGCAGTTTTTTAGCGCCGCTTTTTGTCTACCAGTCCATGTAAAGAACTTTGAAATTGCTTGATAACTGTAGATTTGGTGAGCGTTTCAAGATTGCATGTTTTTTGCTCATTTTTGCTCGAACATGACCTCAGTTTGACCTCAATAACTCCTGACTTAAGGTGACCTAAGACTTGAAATTTAGTGTGAAGGTGTCAAATTGATGCCCGGGAAGGTACTGAAAATTTGGTAAATTTGCTATTCAGGAAAAACCACAGGGGGGGGGGGCCAAAATGCCCCCCCCCAACGGGGCGAGGGTTTTAATAAATTCAAGCGACTGATGCCTGTATAGAGGCTGTCTTTTGGGGTATATAATAGCCTTTTCACGACGGGCTATCCGGCGAGTGCACCTAATTTGACCAATTCTGCACCTAATCTCTTTTTACAGCAAATATCTTTATTTTATGAATTTAACTATTTCAGTGTTTTAATCGATGATACTCTCTGATCATAATATGACAAAGCAGGCATATAAGCAATTAGTGCAACCCTAGCTGATAGCTACTAAGAGACACACTGAACCTGATTTAACCCTCGCCCGTAAACGGCGATCTGCCACCTTCGCCCATGCAGGGGGGGGGGGGGTTGGTGCGACCCCCCCCTTGGCGTTTGAAAACGGAGCGTCGTAGAGCTTAGCGGAAAAGACCAACGGATTGCTCTCGCCGAGATCTCGCGATTGGTGGTATATTTTTTGGTCCTAGGTCAACATTTGACCTACTTTTGACCGGTCAAAGGTCAAATTTTCGGAAAAATAGACTTTTTTCAACTTTCCGCGGCGATTGCGGCAAAACGGTGGGAGATATCGACTTGAAACCTTCACTATCGTGTTCCTTGATCAATTCTCTATCGTTTGGTATGTATTTCGTTTCCCTAGCTCTAAAAATGGCGCGTTGGGAGCGCCGGAAGTCGGCAAGGTCACAGTCGGCGGCAGAAATTCGAAAAATCAAGATTTAAATTTTTGAAATCTGATTGTATTTTTGGATTTGGAAGGTCCATTTGCTCCCTATAGAAGCTAATATTGCTGCATATTCCCATTGAGGTGACAAGAATTAGCAAAATAGTGGTTCGGGCGCTTTTCAAAAATAGTACCGGACGCTGTTCTTCTTGTGACGTCATAGCTCCGTGACCTGACCTGACCCGGTCAAGTTTCTTATACCATATGATAGCCAATACTTGCCCCAACATGCATGAGAAGTGTCATCACGATCCATCAACCGATGTCCGTACCACCGGCAGGAAACCTCGGGCATTGGCACTCAGTTTGTGAAAATCCGGCCGGAGGCTGTTCCCTTTGTGACGTCATAACTCCGTGACCTGACATGACCCGGTCAATTTTTTTTTTATCAAAAGATGCGCAAGGTTTGCCCCATAAGGTACCCAAAATTTGGCGACGCTGCGCGCCGCCGTTTTTGCACTATTTCCGAAAAACCTCAGGGGGGGGGGGTTGCACCAACCCCCCCCTACATGGGCGAGGGTTAACCAAATATGCACCTGATCTGCACCAGATGTGCACCAAATGTGTACCAGATGGCCGTCGTGAAAACGGCTAATGCGGTCCAAGAGGAGCGTTGCTACGGCTGATTTTATGTGAACCTTTGACAATAGACAGCATGACTTGCAGTTGCTCTCACGTAATGCCTAACTAATCCGATTGTCTTGAAAACCTCAAATATCGCATAACATGAATTGCTTGACAGCATCGCAACAATTCTGAGAATAACAAGTCTGCCATGGGGCACATAGCGTATGCATGACGTCGCCTATTTTGATGACACTCTTCCAATTTAATGCAACTTATACATCACAACGCAACACAAAATGCTTATAGACTGAACCTTCATGATCATTAACAGACACAAAACAACTACGAGTATGTAATATGTATCTTCCTGGCTCCTGCTACCAGGATGTTGATGCCACTACTTTGCGTTGACCGGGCTGATGTACCGATACAAGGCTATGGCTATTTTCTGAGCGTCCAATGACGTAGCACGCTCCCAACTATAAAACGGAAGGTCATCTTCCTCAGCGTCAGTCGCTAAGCCAGTGAGCAGAAATCAACATGAAATCGGTAAGTAGGATTGCACAATGGGTTTGTTAGTGACTACCGGGCTGCTGCGGCATTGCTTTGACTATTGCGGCGTGTTTTCCGTGTTACCTAGAGAGGACATTTTCACCTAACAATCAGCGACTTACATCAACAAAATAGCGCCAATAGTGCAACTTGATTAGCCAATGACTAAGGGTAGTCTCAAGTGGACTAGATATACGAGCAGGCGACCTGAGGGCATGCAATGTTTAAAATACCTTTACCTAACCCGCGCCCTGCTGGGGGGGTGTTTGAACACCCCCCTTGTGGTTTTTCGCGAATATCTCAAAAACGGCGGCGCGGAGCGCCGCCGTTTTTGGTACACCTTATCATACATCAATTCTACACATGTTGTGAAAATTTCAGACCAAGGTCATTCAAGGTCAGGTCACCAGGTCACTTGAAGTGACCTCACCTCATAACAAGTTTCAATGTCTGTCATAGCTACACCGAGTGACCGATCGCTTTGAAACTTTCAGCGATTGCTAAGAGCAATAGCATGTGCAAAATGTATATCTCAGAATTTTGATATCGATGACCTAAGGTCAGGTCAATTTTGCGACCTCCCCATTATAAGTCAATGGGAGAAAATTGAAATGCGCCTCTTTTGGACGAAAGACATTATAAACACTCCTAAACACCGAATTACAAGTGTTTTAGACACACTGAACATGAAAATGGTGTCTGTGACCCTTGTTTATGCCCTGAGGTCATCTTAGGTCACGAATGGTATCTAGCAGTTTTTCGCAAATAACTTTTGATAGAGGCATGCTAGAGCGATGAAAACGCCTTAGATGTGTTCAGCTCGACGATACGGATCGACTGATATGCAACATGACCCTTTCCGGTCAGGTCATGACCTTGACTTGAGGTCAAATTTTCAAGTTGACCTTTCAAGGTCAAGTTATAGTTCATTCGATGCGTCTTGACGAGAGGAACACGATGCCGGTAAAAGTAAGCTCGTACAAGGCTTGGGTCAAAAGTTATTGCAGAAAAACTGTTTCCGAAAAAATCGGCCATTTTTGCAGTTTTTGCCCCCTGCAGGCAAAACCGTTGACGCTAGGTCAAATCTGAGAGAATTACTCAGAAAGGGCGTTAATAGGGCTATCGAATGCGTTTTTCCGCGGCGCTGTAGCTCTATTGGTTCCCGAGTTATGCGTTGGCTTCTTGGAAATTTTCGACATTTTACCTGGAAATCGGCGAAATTTTGCCTTCAATGACCTCTGGTGACCTGACCTTTGACCTGAACAAAAAATTGACCGAAGTGATTTCGTCATTAATTTTGACGCTCTTTCGAACGCCGCTTTCCGCGTATCGCTACGTGGCCCAGGAGCTGAGTTACAAGGGGGGTGTTCAAACACCCCCCCCCCCCAGCAGGGCGTGGAAATCCAGGACCCCCAGCCGGGCGCGGGCTAACGCATGGGATGGTGATATAAGCAAAAAAACGTAATATGATCAAACGTTACGTATATGCCAGTTTATCAATAGTCACTGCGTATTTTATTTGTTTCTGTAGTAGTTATATCATGTAGGGAAGAGTGGGGAAAGATGCCCAGGGGTTTGTAATGTCATAAATTATTCGAAAATGGCAATCGGAAAGCAAAAACTTGGAGTTTCAACGGAAGAAGCCGACATCATTTTTTTTTTTCACAAAATGCCACACTTTTGCTTGAAATATTATAACTTTTTTCTTTGCTATTGATCATTTTCCTGAAGTAGTGAAAGGGGGCACCTTATCCCAGAGGGCGGGAAAGACGCCCCCTGGGGTTGGGTAAGATGCCCTTCCGCACTACAAGTGACAAAAATGGGCACGTGAATTGCCTAAGCGAATCAGTTCCATTCGAGCCTGCGGTAGACACTTAAAGGCCATCATAAGGGCCCTAAAAAACGTCATGAGGGCTTCATTCAGAGGTCATCGTGAGTGCCATCATAGTCCAACGCCGTCAAACAAGCCTCCGTGGTGGCGTTCGGAGACCGTTGTTGGGCCCTTATTAGGTCTTCATGAGACTTGAGGGCCCTCAAGACAATTGTATAGGGACCTCAGATGCCAGCGCGGCACGTGAGGCCAGCGTGGGAGCTCTCAAAGAGTGTTGTAAGGGGCTTCGGAGCCAATAATCGGGCCCACAGAGGCCGTCGTGAGGGCTCTTAGAGTCAGATGCTGCCCAAAAAGTCGGCGTATGGGCCAAGAGACCGATATGGCGAGCACCTGACCGTATTGTGCTCTCAATAGTCCCGAATCGGCTTTTGTCTCTCTTCACAAGAAGGTATGTACTAAATGATTCGACGAGTTCCTTGAAGGGCAGCCTACGGACTTGAACATAAATTTCCAGGTTTGATTTTTTGTTTTGCCGTTAGACGGGGTGGGGCGTCTTCTCACCCTGGGGATCTTACCCCACTCTCCTCTAAACATGGTGGGAGCTTACAATCTTTGAAGTTTTTCGGTACGCTTACTGATATTTTCTCTTTCACAGGACAACGTGAAATGAATGTTTCTGTAACATTGAATAGTTGTGATGCTATACGATTGAACGAAACGTATTTCCAATCGCAAGATGCGTCGTTGCATTTATTGCCTAACAGATATTATGTTCAACATCATCTATTGGTGATTACGGTGACTTTTGGTTTCAGTTTGTGACGCTGTGCCTTCTGGCGGCGCTAGTGGCGGCGGTGACCTGCCGACCCGAACAGCAGGCAGCCGCAGAGGTCATCAAATCAGACGCTGACCAGCCTGTGGCCTCCAAAGAGGGGGACCTGGAGGGCTCTGAAAGCTTGTGAGTTGTAATGAACGACAAATAAAGCGACTGCTGACTACATCTTTTAAAAGGCGTACATACCCGTCCCCTTTCCTGACTACTTTTTATGGTACACCTTGATTCGGCTCACGCACTACATAAATTTATAGCACAGAGCCTCTTTACTTAGACTTTATTAAACCTTTTTTAAATTCCTGAAGAGATACATATTACCTACATACCCCAAAAGTAGAAAATTATTTTTGAAAAAAAAAAAAACCTGTTGCTTGCCAATGGACTTAATTTCTTTGACTATACCAGTTTCCATAAATATAATGTGTTGCCAGATGCCAAAAATCTGCATTTTTCGCTCACGATGCTGACTTGAACCATCTCTACCACAGATTGCTCGGACGTCTTTTGGGAGGCGGCCTCCTGAGGGGAGGAATCGGATACGGCGGTCTCTACGGCCGCTATCCGTACGGAGTATATCCGTATTACGGATATCCGTTTGGAGGATTCCCTTACGGAGGATTGCCCTACGGAGGATATCCGTACGGGGTGGGGCCCTACGGATTTGTTGGATAATATCCGTGCTTCTGATCCTTTGTGTCTCTTCTGTGTGTATACCCATGCTAATTCTTCTTCCGTGCCGAGGAGATGATGAAACAAATAAACGAAAGTGTAATGCTACTTATGAAAGTGTTTCAATCTTTTGCTAGTGGAAAAAGGGCTTTAATATTACAGACACATAGGTACCATCATCAAGCAAATTGTAGGGAATTTGCTCAGTCACATTCGTTTAGAGGCCATGAACTACTCAAGTTGACCTAATTACCTGACATAAAAGACGCAGTTTAGGCATAGATATTGATGCATGTAAAATTTGTGCATTATCATCAATACCAAATAAAGAGGCGATTTTACTTGCACACGGAAAACTGGCTAAAAATGGAGAGTGAGGCCACGTCTTCACTTCTTACCAACTCTGCTCCCAACCAACTGACCAACTCTTCGAAATGAGTTTAACAGATTTAAGTGTCTCTTCATATCCATAACGGGTGTGCACCGGTATGCACTTAGTTTCTGGACAAAGGATCGATTAACCTGGCAGGCGGTGGGCCTACCAGCCACCTTCTGCGCGGTGGGGGGGGGGGGGGGGGCATTTTTTGACCCCCCCGTATCTCCGAAACTACTGAAGGGATCCGGAAAATGCAAACGGCGTTCGATAGCCCTGTCAAATTTGTCAAGGGAAACCAAATTTCATTGACCTCGGGGTCACCGATAACGTCACAGGTCAGGTCAAAGATAAAATGTTTCACCGTTCACGGGGCTTCTAGGGAAAGCGCCATAACACCAAGTAAAACGCATTTTGTCGAAAATCAGCGATAAGGCGTCATTTGTCTAGTACATATGTTGCTATTAGAGGTCACTGGTCATACCAGGTCAGGTCACAGGTCAGGTCACTAAAGGTCACCAAGGTTCACCACATGAGCCCAACTTTACTAAGGTTATGCGATGCATGTTTTATGGCCAGTTTTTCATTTCCAACTCAATGGTGTTGGTTATAAGACCATCAGGTACAGTTTAGGTCACTTTCTGGTGGAGGTCAGGTCAAGGTCAGGTCAAAAAAGGTCAAATTTCAAAGTTGATATTTTTGCATAAAATGGGTATCGATTCGATGCAGCTCGTCACGGGGAGTCTAATGGTGGTCTTTGTGTTGTGCTACGAGATCTAGAATTGCTAAAAATTGAGTAAGAAAATTTGACGTCATCAATTTTGAACAGTTTTTTCGCTATAACTTGGCCAAAAAAGAGGTATCGATCTCAAATTTAGTATGTAGATAGAAGGCGGTAGGGACTATCACACATATTCCGGTTTTCTCGAAATTCAAAAAACTTTTTGAAATTTTTGGCTATTATATTAAAAAAAATATATTTTTTGAATTTTGGGGGCCAAAATCCAAAAAATTCGAAAAACCAAAATAACAGTTTTGTAGCCCTTTTGATTTCACACCTTTTATGTCTGAAGCATTTTTCCGTATCTCTAAAGCTGTAGGCCTGACAGCTCTTCCCGCGAAATCTTTTTTTTGGTCGAAAATGGCAAAAATGACGTCACTCTGACGTCATTAACGGCCAACCTATCATAGCCTTTGGAAAAAATTTTGGTCACCATGTGCGCTAGCTGCTCCCGGGAGGGCACTGAAAGTTTGGTGACGATCGGCGCAGCGGTTCTCGAGATATATTGAAAAAAAACTAAAGGGGGGGGGGGGCAAAAAATGCCCCCCACCGCCTGGAAGGTTAATACAAGCGAGGGGGTGAAGCGAGTGAAGCGAAGTCTTACTTCGAATAACATAAATTTCTGAGTATGAGCGGCCGGGCGGCCGCATGGTCACGCTTCTCAAGGCTTATGTCTCAGCAACCAATAGACCGATTCACTTGCTGTATTTTTTAGGGTCGTTTCATTCCTTCTACCAAGTATTAGACTGCTCTGATAGATGTGGGCTATCCTAATGCACGTGCAACGTGCAAAATGAAGAGTTGTCACTTTTGTAACAAGAAAGCTATCTCGGCAACTACCGGGCCGATGGCGCTGAAACTATAGGCATCCACCGGGCAAGGCATTTATTTCCATGTGTCACTGTTTGGGTGCACTACTGCACGTGCACGTGCACTCGTGCAGGGGTCGCTTTCAGATCTCGAAAACGCGGCTAGGCCGATTACGCTCAAATTTGGGACACCGTAAGGACCGCCGATTTGGGTACCATGGAAAGTCAGTTGAAACCCAGTTTTCACGTACGCACGTGCAGGGTGACGCTTGCACGTCTCTGGGCCGATTTCCACTCAAAGGTGGCACACCGCTCGACACCGGTTAGTACGGTGCCGTGCAAACTGTACTTACAACTTACAAGCCAGTTGGAACTGGAAGTACACTCTCGCACCTCCGCGTGTCCAGGTTCACTCGCTCGCCCGCCCATTTGTCGCCCTCGAAGGGTGTCTTATGGTCCGTATCTCGTACTGTCGTAGCTATCATATACATAATACATACTTAAGCATAGTAAATGATTATTCAATAGACTATAAAGATCAACAGGGAACTGGAGAATAGAGAGAGCTAGAACTAGAGAACGAGATCAATAGAGGACACCCCTCCAAGTGTTTTTATTAGGAAGGGAGCTAATAGCTAACACGCGGCCCAAGGCTCCATATTGGGAGCACTACCGGAGGAAAGCATACGTGTCCTAGAGCACACTGCAGTCCACTGTACGCGTGGAGCTGAATAGCGCGCGGATGCCGTTTGTAAGCCGCAATGATAATTCTCTCGGCATGCCTGAACTGCGACCGGATGGGGACTCTGCAGGGGCTTGGTAAAGCAAGCATCGCACTAAGGAAGATTGTAAGTGCAGATTGGCGTCTGGTTCAAGTAAAAAAAAAAAAACGCTGCTTCCTGCCGCCATACATTGGCCCGAAGATGTTAATCAGAAGTGTGCCTCAGATCATGCAGACTGTCTGAGATTCGATACCGCCCTGCACTTTTATTAACCGTTAGCTCGTTTGTTGCTTGTGTAATATGTGTGCCAAATTTCATTGTAATCCAAGCTCAAAAACCGAAGTTCTAGCAGAAATTTGTGTGAAAACTAAGCGCACACACGCCATGCATAATACCCGGCACCTAACGTGCACGCCTTTGCTTGTTCGTGATCCTTGGATGAATCCCGTGTGCCCCTCGGTCAGCTTCCTCCACGACTGTCTGACAGGCGTATATTGCCCCTCCGTCAGCTGCCTCCGAGACTGCCTGACAGGCGTATATTGCCCCTCCGTCAGCTTCCTCCACGACTGTCTGACAGGCGCATATTGCCCATCGGTCATGGCTGCCTCCACGGCTGGCTGACAGGCGTGTATTACTGTATTGCCCCTCCGTCAGCTGCCTCCGCGACTGTCTGACAGGCGCATATTGCCCTGCCCCTCCGTCAGCTGCCTCCACGGCTGTCTGACAGGCGTATATTTCCCGGTGCCCCTCGGTCATGGCTGCCTCCACCGCTGGCTGACAGGCGTGTATTGCCCATCGGTCAGCTGCTTTAACGACTGTCTGATAGGCGTATATTGCCCCTCCGTCAGCTTCCTCCATCACTCTCTGACAGGCGTATATTGCCCCTCGGTCAGCTGCATACGAGACTGTCTGACAGCCTCCCAAACGTGTGATGACGTCATCGAGGCAATGAACGACGCGGATCTCTGCGAACCTGGAATGCCCGGCCCGCCGCCACAATTATATAACACCCAGTCAGATCAGATGCCTGAAAAATCAGCGACGTGCTCAACGATCTCTGGAAATTCAATGCCATCGTGTTTTGATCTGCACAGCTTCCGCTGTATTTTTGCTGATTTTGGCAATTTTCTGAGGTTAAGGTATCAATCATGGAGTTCTGCAAAGTGTGACGCGTTAACTTTCTTGGAAATGTGCCAATTTGTTTCACTAACCTCCTACGCTGATGTGATGACCTTCAGAAAACATTCAATGGTGATAAAATGCACGCCTACGGGATTGGCATTGATTCACTAAATGGTCGAAGAACCCTTCCTCCATCCCCTGAGGGATAGGAGATTTAACCTTAATCTGGGACACACTCATAGACCGGTATGGCAAGCATTCTGAACGACCCGAGGTCATTTGGAATTTTCCGGGGCCTGAATGACGTATCCCGGAGGCTACCTATAAAACGGAGGATGTGCTCGGTAGCATCAGTCGCTGATTGAGCGAGAAGTGATCAACATGAAAACGGTGAGGGTGAACGACTGTGTTTGGGATTCGAGTGATTGCTGGTGTGGCTTAACAGACTGCGAATGGTGCGCTTATTATATATAGTTTGAGTCGCGCCCTTTTATACGCGAAAGTTATAAATCTGACGGAAGGAGCAATTCGATGAATATCGACGAAACTTTTTGGGGCGAGCATCGCTGTTTCATTCTGTTCCACTTCCGGTCGTGTAAGGGTCCCTGCACCGAAAACTTCGTGCTGATCTTAAGCCTTTCGTTGTTGTTGTCGTTTATGGGCTTAAGGGCAGCTTTTCTTTTTGCCTGCTCAATTTTTACCGAGCTAATGAAAGCGTCAATTATTCATCCCACCAAGTCCCATAGGTGATTAATGTATTTTGCAATACTTTTCGGTTTAGTGAAGCCCTTTCAGGATCATGTAACTAGAGTAGGTATAAGTGTATATAAAGGGGAGATGGGGGGAGGGTAGAAACAGAAAATTGGACTGATTCCAACCACCGACTGAGGCGCAAAGTAGCTGTAGGTACCTTTTTGGATGGGATAATATCCCGGTGAGTCAGCTCACAACTTCCAGGTATTCGGGGTCTAACTGTATTACGCAATGAATAGGAATTAAGATCTAGCAACAAGGCAAGGCGACATCGACGAAAGATTCCCACAGGTTGGATTAAAAGCATCTTCCGGAGTCATGTGTGCACTGTGGGTGGACCGCGGTTACTTTTGGTTTCAGTTTGTGACGCTGTGCCTTCTGGCGGCGCTAGTGGCGGTGGTGACCTGCCGACCTGAACAGCAGGCAGCCGCCGAGCTCACGCCGGATGCTGGCCAGCCTGTGGCCGAAGCTGGAGACCTGCAGGGCGCTGAAACTGGGTAAGTTTCTAAAACGTTCAGCCTACTCATACTCATAATAAAGCCAGACAGCCAGATAGCCGTTCGTGAAAACAGCTATTATCCACTAGCAAATGACTTTGAGAAGATTTATGTAGATCGGCCAGAAGAGAAACATCCCATCCAATCCCATTGCAATGCCATCTATATGTACATATGCAGACTAACTAGTCCAATGTGAGAAAAAAAACTAAAAACTTGCACGCTGATTTAATCTTCTACAGCTGCATATTCATAGCAGCTTTACAGCAGTATTGTTACATTTTGTTTGCAACCAAGGGAACTTCAGTGCCTGTTTTACAGATTAGCTGACACCCTTCATGTGCTTTTTCCGCAGTATTTTCGGCCAAGTTCTGGGGAGTCTGCTCGGCGGAGGTCTTGGTCGCGGACTGGGAGGAGGTGGTCTTGGCCGCGGACTAGGAGGAGGTCTCGGCCGCGGACTGGGAGGAGGTCTTGGCCGCGGACTGGGAGGTCTCGGTGGTCTCGGACGCGGATTGGGCACTGGAGCACTCGTTGGACGTTAATTTCCGTATTTTTTTTGCTTTGTTTTGAACATTTCGTTTAGTGCACTCACTGCCTTATCCATGCAGACGGCTAATAGAGGGCTTTTTGATGGACGTGAAACTTAGAAATATGTTGCCAGAGACGAGCTTGTTGTGGTTTCAGGAAAATGTCGAATTCTGTGAATTTTTCGAACAAAATAAATTGCAGCGTAATGTCTAAATATTTACGGAATGTTGCCGAGCACCACTCCACTAGCGGAAGCCTTGGTAAAGTTTGCACTTTTTTCTGCGAGCTGATCTTTTTTTTAAACTACGAAACGTCAGGATATTTTATCCACAGCATAAGTCACCATGCAAGTATACTGTACGCTGTGCGCATACATATTACATATTTTCGAGACGTGTTGTCGCGAACATCTTCTAGGTATATGATCAGTGTGTCCCTCGATATAGACTACATTGCATAAAACTGTCAATTCATCTGGACACAAGCTATTAGTTAACCCATAGCCAGCCCACAGCCTGTCCATAAAGCGAAGGACCAAGGGGTTTGGTACCAGCCTATGGAGATTGGCTCCTATATGCGCGTAAAAACACCACGTATGTACATGGATTGTGGAGAATCTCGCCGATGTGCAAATTTTGTGTCTTTAGGTCAATATTTAAGGGGCTTTGCAGTATAATGACCTAAAAGGTTCTGCTGGAACGCGTCAACTGTTTTCGCGTATGACTTTTGTTCCAGCAAACGCAGAACAAATATTAAAGCACCAGCGAGCTCAGCGTGTCCATGTCAATCAAATGCAAACTCTTCTTTACTAGCTTAGGTGAATTTTATAGTTCACCTAAAGTTCAGCGAACTTAAGAGTTCTTACGTTTTTAACTCTCGCGGGCCGGGGGCGAGGGTTCTCTCCCCTGGACGAATATTTGCGATAGCTCCCGAACGCCTAGAGATTGGAAGTCGAAAGTTTCACTACCCTTTTCTCCATTAATTTGACATCCTCTGGAGTACAAATATGAAACTAGCCCTTTGATGACGTCGCAGGGTAATAAAGTTATAGATAACTACTAAAAATATAATTTTAGAGATAAATACAAAATATCAACAAGGAAGTGTAGCGTATGACCAAGAGAAACCAAAAGCCTTGACCTGAGGTCACAGCTCGGGTCAAAGACCCGAGCTGAGCTATCAGTTTTCTTTTCGCAAATATCTTCAACAAAAATGGCGCTAGAGCAAGATGAAGATACCAACGCATTCGTCCTGTCATATGTCGAATGCCATATGCATATTTTGCTTGAAAATGCTCAATTTTCATGTGAACCTGAGATGACCTGCAATGACCTTTGGATGATTTTGACGCATGATAGGTCTTATTTGATGTATTCACAGTCGCTGATCACGAATGTGGCAACCTTGCTGATGTTAAACATTCATTTAGAAGCTACAGAAAGGGAAAATGGAAGAATTATAACGGCTGCCTTATATTCGTAAATTACAGGACAGATATATTACAAACAAAGTAACCGGTACTTATGCACCACAAATAGGAAAACAAATATACACAAATATCTATAGCTAAGGCTGAGCTTCGTGACTTAGCTTCTAGCAGGGATATTCTCACATAACCTTAACCTTGGGGCAGTCTTGAATCGTTACATGAACCACATATAGGGACCTGATGAGCATGAAAATAGTTCAAAGGTTTTAGGAATTCTTTAGGATACAAAGTTTATAACAAAACAAAGTTTGAGGTGAATTTCAAACATGTCTTTGACCTTGACCTTGAACTTTAATCATGTAATCGGATTTCTCAGAACGTCTTCTTTTATTGCCATCCAGTTTTGCCCGATAATCGTATACATCCTACCATCCTCTGAACCACAAAGCTTGAGATCACCACACATGTGCCGGTTTTGACTTTAACCTTGACCTATGATACTGAAAATTGAAGTGGGATCAGTAATTTTAGATACTTTAGAATCATTTGTGGAGACCATTCGTTTGGCACTGCTAATTGTCCTAATTTATTTATCTATGGAGTTAGACAGGGAGTAAAAAACGTCTCCACCCCTTGGTTGCGGTAAGTATAGTTAGTATTTAAATGTCTACCCCCATCCTTTACACACGTAAACAAGCGTCTGATGTGGCACCCCCTCACCCCCCCCTCCCTCCACCTGGGCGAAGGTTGATAGACAATGTTATTAGTGTACGATAATTCGATAAATCAATTATATAGGCAGCAATTGCTACTGAAGCTAAAAACCTACCCAAGAACAACTCTGAACTACTTTGATCAATCTACGCCAACTGTGACCACACATTTGCCAAATGCCGTCGCGAAAACAGCTATTTACCGGCAAAGGCAGCACATGGAAATTTCATAGCTTGACAAATCACTGACCTTACATAATACATAATCTCCTAGCAAAAAATTGCACCCGTAAGCACTTACTGCTGTCATCTCAGATATCTCAGCCGCTACGAACACCAATCCTCGATAGAAATATTATTTTACAATGCTGCGGTTTGCAGCGCTTATCTATCCCTGTCTCAAATACACCTTAATCACGATTGATAAGAAGCTGACCTAGTTTTGAACCACGACGTAAGAACCACGTATAAAGCGGTGTGCAGAAGGTCTCACTGACCAGTTGTTCAGCATATGTGACACACATCACATCGAACATGAAATCGGTAAGCTGCCAAGATTCTAGAAGCGTGAGAGGAGTTTTTCGTTGGTAGGGCTTCCTTTTTTAAATGGAACAGCTAAAACATGTATTTACTACTTAGGTGACGTAATAAAGCCACATTACGACCGGGTGATTAGTTAGGACGTTGTCATTCCGCATGTTTGTTGTCTTAGTAATGAGCCAAAATCGTATCACTGTAGTCTATGACAAACCTCCTAAGAGCTATTTACATATATGTTAGTTATATTGTTTACAATGGTGCAGTCATAACGCGGCTGCACCAGTGACATCTATGTGTGATTTATGTAACTTTCGCTACAGTTTTTAGCCGCGTGTGCTGTGCTGATGGTGCTGGCGACACTGCTGAGCTGTTCGGCCGCTACGGTTAGAGGCCTTCTTCATCCGTCAGCCGACTTAGCGGAACAATCGGAAGGAGCTGATCTGGAGGCTGCCGAGTCCCGCGGGTTAGTTCTAGCCTAGGTGGACGTGAGGATTTTTTTGTAAATCAATCATAAAATTAGTCCACTTTTAATGCTGGATAAATGATGATTTATTTAAGAGCCATTGATTCAGTTACAAATGCAGTAAAATGCTTCTAGGCAAATCCAATGTATCTTTTTATATAAATCGGCACATACAGCGATGCACCATGATAATGCGTTTTCTTTTTATTTCAGATTCTTCCGGAACTTCTTCGACCGCGTTTTAGGTGGTCAGGGTATCCTGGGTGGCGGCCAAAGACCGTTCTTAGGAGACGACGGTGGATTTAGAAGACAAGGAGGAATATTGGGAGGAAGGAGAGAGGGATTGCCTGGAGGAAGACCAGGAGGAGTGACAAGGGATAGAGTGGGAGGAGTGAGAGAGGGAGGAGTGAGAGAGGGAGGAGTGAGAGAGGGAGGACTGAGGGGAGTGCCAGGGGGAGGAGCGGGAGGAGCGCCAGGGGGAGGAGTGGGAAGTGTAGCAGGGGGAAGATTTGGAGGTGTAGGAGGAGGAAGATTCGGGGAAGGCTTTAGGAGGAGACAGGAGCCATTGTTTGGTGGCTTCCTTGGTCGTTTAGGGGCGTGGCTCGGGTAATGTTTCCGAGAAACATTGAACGGAGATATGACATTGTATGTACAATTGATGATGCAGTGCCTATTTGATTGGCTCTGAAGCAGCGTTACAGTTGCAGCCAGAGTGTTTGTTATTTGTTACGCTTGAAGGCTGAAGCTACTTGAGGTGACATAATAAAAAACTTATCTTATTTGAATACAACGCAAAACACGATTAGGCGAATATCTAATGCATGTTAATTGAATATATTTATACAAGGCTTATGCAACACGTTCAAGTTATAGGTACCTAATGCATATTAATTGAATATATTTACAAGGCTTATGCAACACGTTCAAGTTATAGGCATAACCGAATCAAAAGTACAAACTCCAACATCTCCCCTGCATCATCAAGCCTGCCGATTTCTCGGGATGTCCAGGCTTAGCTGGGGGGGGGGGGGGTGCCTGATCTCACCAAACCAGTAGCTCAGCTTCAAGGTCTCCTTGCATCAGGATGTCACAGAAAACCGCATCGCGTCCCCAAATCCGGTGGAGACCAGTTTTGAGCGAGGCAGTCATGGCCAGTACCAAGAACGAGTTATGAGTTATCAGGTACAAATCTATGCACTTACGCACGTATTTACGCACTAAGCCGCAACTTCAGACCGGAACTGAGAAACTGGTGTAAGGGGGATTCTTGATCAGCTTAACGGCATTTCTGCGCAGTCAGGCTAAACCAGCGAGCTGGTCTAGCCGATCATTGCAGGATGTTCAGCCCGGCAAGTTCCTTTGATTGGGTCACTGAACTGCGGGGCTGACAACTCGACAGCTCAGCTTGGCTCAACAGAGAAGAATGTTCTGATGAGGGTGCTAAGTTTTCATTATTGTAGAATGTAGTTGGACAAGAAACCGATCAATTCATCATATATTCAACGCCAGAATGAATCAGGTGCATGCAGTATCAGACAGTAATCGCCACGCCATGTGTGGATCGCCCATGATCGTCATTCGTCAACACATCTGCATGCTTTTGAAAGGGAAGCCATACATCGCAATTCGCAACAGTGCGTAGCTGCTCCAACTTGGGACATTGATAACCCTCACCGGCCGAAGGGGAGGCGGGCGTTGCCCCCAATAGGATTTTTCCATGATAGCTCGCATTACGCCGGTCATAGAGAGCTGAAACTTTGCATAACTGATCTTTGATTCAAACCGGAGCTGTTGACATAAACCGCAGTTACAGGCTGTGTCTGTCAGGTCACTAACCTATGACGTCATAAATAAACCTTTGCACGGTCCTGAATTGTCGCAACTCCGCAATTCGCCCTCGTCCCTCAGTGCCAGAGGAACTTCCACAGGGAGACGAAACTCACAGGACCTAGTATTCTCGAGAAGTCTCGCAACTTGTATATCTCTGATTAGTTCTAAAGACTAAAGAGTCACCTGATGTCCGGTCGGTCACGTGACTTCCACCGACTCCCAACTCCAACT